ATTTGTTTTTTCTACATAAAGGGACAAACCTTGCCGCCCATAGGGTCGATTCGCAGTGCATATGTATTAGTAGTTTTGGGTGATTCAGTAACGACGGACCATATTTCTCCAGCTGGTGGGATATCCAAGGTATCTCCAGCAGCGAAGTACCTCGCTGAAAGGGGGTAATGTTTGATTCTAAAAAGATTCTCAGGGGTTTGTTAGCGTCAGTAAACAAGTTGAATAAAAGTTTTGCTTCAGTAACCAAGTGTCTCTTCCTTCTGTTATTTAAATTGCAACTAACTGAATCTAAGCTCTGACCATTTAAGGGTAGATCCTGCTGATTTCAATACATATGGTTCGCGACGAGGGAATCATGAAGTGATGGCTCGTGGAACGTATGCCAACATACGGCTGTTAAATAAAATGGCCAGCAAGCCGGGCCCCTACGCAGTGCACATCCCTACAGGTTATTGTTGTGGTCTTAAGTGTCTTCTGTCTTTTGAAGGCTAGTATACTAACTAATATTTTTACTTCAGGTGTTGAGATGAGTGTATTTGAAGTTGCTGAACGTTACTGTGAGGAGAAAAGGACCACAATTGTCATTGCTGGAAAAGAGTATGGGTGTGGTTCGTCACGGGACTGGGCAGCTAAAGGTCCGTACCTTTTAGGTGTAAGGGCAGTCATCGCAGAATCTTTTGAAAGGATTCATAGGTAAAATGATATTAGTGATAATAGTGGCCAATATTTGGAAATCAATTTCTATTTTTCATTCTTGAGTCTATAACTATTACTGCTTGCTCATTTTTGAATCCATTACAGGTCAAATCTTATTGGCATGGGAATTATACCGTTAGAGTTCATGCGGGGACAGAATTTCACTACCTTAGAATTGACGGGTAAAGAGGAGTACACTATCGAAATACCGCAAAATCTGACACCTAGGTGCCTAATAAAGGTGGAGGTAAGACGTTTACAAGACTTTTTAAAACTTTTAAATTATTATCTTGGCATTTTTTTTAGATTCTCCGATGATTCTAGTAAATTTTTTTTTAAAAGCAGTTAAACATGTTCGCAGTAATTTTGTAGACAAACGATGGAAAGATCTTCACAGTCCTTTGTCGACTGGATACAGAAATCGAAGTTACTTATTATAAGAATGGCGGAATATTGCCGTACATGGTACGCAAGTTAATTTCCGGCTAGAATTCGTAGTTGTTAATTGTTAATTTTCGTTCTGTATGAAGTGTATCCACTGTCAAGCTTTTGTTAAAATGTCCTAAAAAAGACCTGATAGGGTGTTTTCCTCTCTCATTTGCATAACAGTGAAGTTACACAGAGTAGGTAAAACTTCGTCAGGGAAGATTCAGGAACGATTCATAACTTACGCACACAATGAAGATGTCCGACAACAGTTTGCACTCCAAGTTGAGTTTGCGATTTTAGCTCGTGATATCATTACATATAACCGCATTTAACTCAGCACACCGTTCAGATGTGAAGTAACATGCGTTTTTTAATTAACTGTCAAAAAATCGTTGGGATGTTGGAATGCTAATCTTTCCCCATTACAGATCAATCGTTTATTAAGAGTCACAAGCGTGGAAATGTGTTTATTGTAGGAGGGTGGCCAGTCCTGCCCACAGATTTTACGGCGCTGCTTTTGTTCCGTAGTAGAATCTATTCAGAAGAAGCCTCATGAAATTCATGACTGTGGTGTGGTCACTTATCATAGGGATTTGTAAAGCGTCAAGACAACAAATTAAGGAAAGGATTAGAATAGCTGTAACCAGCTGTTCTTGGTATATCAGTTGATATCAAACTTATTGCTGCAAGACCAAATCCCGTCATGATTCAAAAACTTCTTCATAAACTGCTGTGGGAAGCTGCAAAGCAATTTTTTGACCCAGAAATCTTCAAAACTTATCGGCAAATTTCAAAAAGATTTAGTTAGACAGTACTCGAGATAGTCCCCGAGTTCAACTTTTGTCGCTTAATAACAAGTTTCCTGTATTTTCCTGATAACAAGACAAACAGAAAGCCTCCCAAAAATTGTGATTCAATATTTCGTATCTTCTCTGCTTATAAAGTAACCTCCTTATCGCTTCTTAGTTACCAATGTTCGCTGGTATAAATCCTTGTTTATTGGTACTTTGGGAAAATCGATGGCCAAATCTCAGCTGCATGACAAGCAGCGCAAAACAATATTTGGCCTTTCAACGGTGCTTTTCTTGAAGGTTTTCTTTTGCGTATTTCTCCTTTTTTTAACAATGTTCATTATCAATGTACATCTATTCATTAAAAAGTCATAATAGAACTATATTCTATATCTGCAGTCAGCTAAACATAGTCATATTTGCTACAAGGTGCTAAATAAAGATGGCCCCCGACATCACAATGCATCCAGCACCAACCTTTTCCTTTGGAACCACAAGTGAAGATACACTTCTACGTAGATTTTCCTATTGCGGTTAAATTCCATCTTCCATTCCCTTCCAGATGCAATTCATAATCATGAAACCGTCTTAAGTTAGTACGATGTCCAGTTGAAACAAAAGTTATGCCACTCTGAAATTTTCACCCAGTTTCATCAGCTATTTTTAAAGTATTTCTGTTTAAGAAAAAAAATAAAGCTGGTTTTTCTAATTCTGTTCAATACAGAAATGCCATGTAAAAAAAAATATTGGTTCAAAGCGATATGTTTTTTATACTTAACAAAACTAAGATTTACTTTTAAGATTGAATTATACAGCTTAGTCTCAAGTTCCTCGCTCACAGCACTTGTACATTCGTCAAGAAATGCAAACTTTGGTTTGTGATAGAGTAAACGCGCAATACTAAGTCGTTGTAGCTCGCCCTTGGACAAAGTAGCACACCTAAATTTGAACGTCTAAATAAAAAAGCAAAACAGCTGAAAACCATTATTTGGAGTAAATACATTGATACATTCACTTCCATATCATTCTCTAACCAGTAACGCTCTTCGCCTGCATGATGCAAACAACATTGAAAAAAACTAAACCAGTTGCCGTCAAACGGTTTTTGTAGAGATTCAAAGCGCTCGACAAGATGCACTAAGTCGACTTCCTCCAAAAGCTTCTTGAAATACGCCTCGTCTAAAATACCCCAAATATAACTTACTATTCGAGAACTGAACATTGTCATCAAGGCTGCTTTGAAATAGGAATATGGTTGTTAAGAAGTGACTACTTAAGGAAAATTGCAATCAGTCTACAGTATTTACAGTTAGTTGAATACACTGAAATAAAACCATATAAGTACCGTGGGAACCGTTGTCGGCTACAAGCGGATATACCAACTGTTGTAAAAGACTGGTTTGTCCGCGAGGAAAGTATCCATCCTGAGGAAGAAAAATCATATTTTCCACAGTGTTGGTCAAAAACCGTTTCATTTTGCCTTAAATAGGTATTCATTCAAAAGTCAAGAGAACTAAATTACAGCTTTGAGGAAAAGATTAATGCAGCTAAGTAAATCAAAATACAGTTGAAATTTTTCATTAGAGGAAACCTGTGTTTGGGGACCAAAGTCCAGCGATGACCCGTAGAAGTGAACTTTTTCCTGTGCCGCTCTCTCCAGTAATTAAAACTTTCTCACCCCTTATCACTTTTAGAGTAAGACCTACAAAAAGTAAAAATTTACCCTTTTCAGTGACAGAAAGGTCTTTAGCGTGTTATGCGTCTTGTTCTAATAATTCACTCTAGAAAACTAAAACAAAATTCCTTACCTCCTATTAATAGAGAAGAATCATCGATTTTTTTAATATCTACTTCTTTTAAAGCAACAGCTATTGACACACTCCGCTGCTGTTTAGGTGGTTCCCTAAAGTGAAGCTAATTTCAGTTTTAAAAGAAAGGAGCTGGAACAGTCATTTACAAGTTAACCCCGGCGCAACCCAAACCAGTCTTAAATAATGTAGAGTCTCCTTTACGGCGAGACTGCAGAACGACGGAACATGCAAAAAAAAAATAGCTTTACAAAAAAACCTTGATTAAAACTCATTTCATAAAGAAACTATTCAAAAGCAGCACACTTTTTTGATACTATAACCAAGAACTCAATGCCGTTACTTATAAGTCAGTAACTAAAACAAAAAAGAAAGTAAAAACTGTCTTCCACCTATTTGTGCTCTGGAGTAACGCATCTTCCTCGCCATCAGACTCTTCTAACCTTGTTGAGCCGTCCTTCAAGGCGACATCATTCTAAAAAGTAGAGTGAATGAATAATTGAGCCATACAATATAAAACTCAAGTAGCAAATCCTTTTAAAACGAATAATACATAGTAACTGTTAAATATCTTTTAAACACACTAGCAACATTTATCAAAATACCTGCATATTATTAGTAACAGTGTGTTGAGCACCGCCAACTACAATCTCAGGTTCATTTTGATCAGTCTTACAATTCGGACCACTGGCAGCCTTTTTAAGCTTCTGTAACTCTTCATGCAAACCAATAACTCTGCAACATTAAACAAACATTAGTAATTCCAGTATAATTGTCGGTTACTTGATATTAAAATGGCGAGAAATCAAAAATTTCAACTCACCTGTGAGCTACTGCCGACATTTCTCCAAAGTGCTCCGCAAGAGAAACAACGCGTGAAAAACTATATATGAGATAGAGGTAAATAAATGCACTCTAAAAATAAAAAGAAAATTGACTTTTTAGAAAACTTAAAATTTACTTTTTCAAATATGAAACTACAAGTGAGGAAGAAACCTACGTATTAAAAAAATCGAATAATATTAATGATACAAAGCACCTTGCTAACAATCCCGGCTAACTGCGCACCGCTGAACTCATCATACTGATGCGTCAAAAATGTCGGGACAGCAATTATGAGGTAAGTTAAAGTTACTCCGCCATAATCAAAAAAACTTGTAATTACTGAAAAGCGTTTTCTTACTTTTTAAAAAAAGACGAGATCAAAAGATACAAAGATTATTTAAGAAAAAAGTTCAATCATTACAGCAAAGAAACGATTTCCAAAGAGCTAGCTTTTTCTGGACATCAATAAGAGATTGAAGTTTTCCATTAATCAACCATTCTTCCGTAGTTCCGGCGTTATAGAAAGCAATCCCTTCGGAATTTGTTTGTACGTCCAAATGTTTAGTTCTGAAATTAGCGCCTTTCGAAAACGAAGATATCCTGTTAGCTATACTGCTAAAAAACAGTTTCGTCCACTAATCGATAAATATTGGCTTCAAAAGCAGAAAGCAGTTTCACTAAACTCTCCAAACGTTAACTCAGAGAGGTTCGCATTAAATTTTCTTAACCAGCTTAGTTTGATCTGGTTGGAATCCACAAGCTCAAAATTTTACAAGCCCATCTAGATAATAAAAAGGCATAACTTTCTCATTAACCTGAAGTCTCCCTCCTTATTTTCTTGTTGCATCCCATAACGGACAACAGGGGACAAAAGGAATTTATTTGCAACTGTGGATATGGTAAAATACAAGTAAATGGCTATTGCACCAAACCAACCGGCACTGAAAGGAAGTGACACATTGGAACCAAATTACGGCTCGTATATTCAATCTTACTAAAATATCTACAGTAAGATACCTTTAAATAAAAAACCAACATTTTTTGACAAACAATTAAAGTATTATCACATTTTATGGTCTTATTCTCTGATAAAAGAAGTAGAATGTATAAATAACACTCAACACAACCAGTAAAAGCAAAAGAGATACCTTTTGATAGTAAGGTAGGTATAATAAGTTATTATAAATGGAGCCATTATTACTGGACTGAAAAGATCTTCCGCCAGAATTCGAGTTAATTTTTCAATGTCTTGAGTCATTCTCTGATCCCTTAAACCGATTAGTCATTAGTTCCTCAAACACCGACACTCTAGCAGGAAGATAATAAAGTAACAAGTGTCAGATCATAATTCGGTCTCCGTAATGAAAAAATGAGCAAAAATTCTAATAATTACGGGTTATCGCATTCTCCACAATAGCTGAGTTTGTAAAAAACGAGGTCTTGACAGTAGGAATGATGCAATCTTCGGTTGCAGGTTTCGCGGCATTTCAAATAAAATAATGAAGTTAAATACTTGCTTAGTGCTAATGCCTGAAAAGAGTGGAGAGTTCCAAAAAATTTCCAACTGCACGTGTGCTAATCTAAGTAAATTAAACCCTTATTATAATTGAAACAAAGCGATAAGACCAACAAATGACTTAGTGAAAACGACAATAATCGATTTCCATAACAACGGTTTGAAATTTTCCAAATTACGGTCTCCCAAAGTGACATAAAATTCACTGGGTAAAATACCAGAAAAATATGTTGTTAACTGATCTGAAAATAGATCAACTTTACTTTCTCCTAAATCTCCTAAAAAGTTATAAAACTCTCAAACTATCATTAATTCTCAACCAATTATTCTACACTGTCCCTCACTTATTATTTATTAAAACAAAAAATTTTCATACTGTACACAAATTTCAGTATAAATCTTTTGATGTTATCTGGCAAAAAAATTTTTTTACATAGCATAAAATATAAGACAGAAATTAAAACATATCCAGCACATACAGTTATTAACTAGATGCTTCATCAACTTTTTAGAAGAAAACCAACTTAATCCTGCATTTGTAAGAAGAGGTCTTCAAAACTAAACAGTCATCCTCACCACTGAAGCAATATACAACAGTCAGCCCAACTAGTAATTTAAAATAACAAATTTTCTTCACTACATTATACAGCCTTCCTGACAAAAAAAGCTCAAAAATATCAACTACTGAGAATCAAGACTATTAAAACATTATTACCTAGTATGGCAACGAGAAATGTCAACAGAGCAAACGCTGGAACAGATGCATAAAAATGACCGTGGTTGTTGGTAAAAACAATCCATAAAAAAACCTTTATTCGATGCAGCAGTAATCTATCAACCGACGGAATATGCATCCTAAAAAGCAAACAATTCATATTACAGTTATAGTTGCAGATGATATCTGAAAAGTAAAAAATTCCACCATGTACACTATGTCACCAATAATCACAACTTTTTGGCATACCACCACATAATCTGCAGACCTCTGATAACAATAATAACCTTGGTTCCCAATTTTATTGTACATACCAACTTATTTCTGATACTGAAAGTCCAAAAAGGAAGAGGCAAACCAAAAGAATTTTGCAATCAGCGCAAAGCTTTGTAATCTGACTTGCACTTCAAAGTCTAGAAAATCGTTTATAAGCTGCCTATAAAAAAACTTAAAAGCCTTCATAAATCACCTACGGTTAAAAAACATTTAGTTTCATTTACGACACAAACCCAACTAGCGGTATTGTTAGAGAATAAAGACAAAGAAGTTATTTCCCAACAAGACTTGCAAATTCACAAAGTTGAAAGCGACGCTCAAGACATTCCCCGCTTTACTTCAACCGTCAGCAATATTTTAAGTAACAAGTTCAACTTTATAAATTTCTTGGTTTGTACGGTCACGACAATTTTAAGACCAGTTTTTTTTTTAAACCTGAAACTTAAAAAAAAAAAGACAAAGCCCATAAAAAATTCAAAATGCTTTTGTATTGTAAAGAAAAAGCAAAAAAGTAAAAACTAAATATACCAAAAATTAAAAGAAATCCAAATCTAAAAACCGTGCTAAAGATTAGAAAGAAAAACCTACTCCAACCACACAGTCCTTAAATTACTCAAAATCAATTGTTATCTTTAAACTGTTTAAAAGAAAAAAAATAAAAAAATAAAAAAAAAAAAAAACAATCATTAATGTCTTCTTTTATTGATGACAGGCAAGAAACAATATATTGAACAATTTAAACTCAAGAGAGTGTTTTTGTTTATTTAGTTATCTTTTCACTTATTAATGCTACGTTACTGACACTTTTGATTCATTCCTGTTACAACAGCTTAAAAAGTTGACTCCAAATGATAAACTTTTTTGCACAAAAATTCAAAGTTTCTTTAATAAAAAAAGAATATCTTTTTTGCATATTTGATAAAAAAAAATGAACGGTTTAAGGACAGTCTGTGACAGTTATACTCGTTTCAAGACGGCTATTTAGTAGATTCTACGTAGTTAGATCCTTTAAGCATCGAAAAAAAAAAAAAAAAAAAAAAAAACCGATAACAAATTAGGTGGCCAACGGGCAAAAAATTCTCCTCGACCAGCACACATAACGCCAAACGTATAAGAAGGAATAAAGCTCTAATACTCTCTGAATAAGCAGCACAGAAACCAAAAAGTTGTTTAAAAAGCTAGAAGAAAAGAAAAACAAAAAAATGATTCACTTTTTAACGCCAGAAGCTTGCATACTGTATCAGTTTACTGCGCCAGCAGTTTCAGTCTCATAAACTTACTGCCACTACCAATGTCATGTTTTCGATAATCGGATGTTGCAAAAATTTTTTTTTCCTCTGGTACCAGAAGACTAATGCTTTATATTGTCCATAGCGCCAGTTGATATCTGTAATAACAATTTTCAATTAGTTACAAGAAAATTAATCTGAAAGGTTTAAAAATGCATTCTGTACCCTCTGATTCCATTATCAACAAGTCAGATCAAAATTTCGTCTGTAAGACATCGAAAGTTAACAGGTACGTTGACAAAAAATCAACAAAACACAGCTTAATAGTTTAAATTATCACTTTTTCAAACGTCTAAAGTTTTTAGCGCAGACATTTAAAATAACACGTAAAATGTAACAAAAAAAAAACATTAAACTTTCAAAATGGATACATTATACTTCTTCTTAACGAAAGAAAGAAAAACGACAACCAAAAGACAGAACAAAGAAAATTACCCCAAAAAAAATAAAAAACGAACATTAGCGGCAAAGTTTTGCGCAAAATACCACAAATAATTTATAAGAATCTTATGAATAATAAACATTTAAAAACGAAAAATAAGCAAAGAACTGTATTTATTATATTAAATTATTTCAAAAGAAGAAAAAAAAAAATACTGAGCCAACACTAACAAAAGAAAGCAACGAACAAATGGGAAGTGCTTAAGCACTTCGGAAAGACGATGTGAATCCGATATGCAATATCCGCCAACGATCCGCGAATACCCACAGAACACATTCACTTCAATTGCACTGCTGCCATTTAATTTAACAGCGCAAAAACTGTTGTCAGCATTTGCAACATACCTCTCTCTCTGTTTATACAATTCCCTCTTTCTGAATACCTTTTTGTTTTTCTTTAATATTAAACTATATTGCCTGGAAAAGTTATACTTTTTTTTTTTGACTGCAACAGTAACTTTCACTGGTCCTTCCTGTTGTTCACAAATTACATATTTTAATTTCTACTTTTTTTTTTTTTGTTTTGAACATTTACTACATTCTATTTCAACTGTAGAAAATAAGTGTCAATCATTTTGTTCACTTTAGTGTTTTTCTCGTTTTGAAAGAACGCCTTGAAAGCTTGAAAGATTTTGAAAGGAACGTAGAATCCAGTGAAGAAATGGGCAGATAAGAGGATGAATAAATCTAATTATATTTTTATATACGATTAATCCTCACCATTTTACGCTGTTCATTCTCCACTGAATTCAAAATTTAAAGTACAAAACTACCGGTTACATCAACACATTTTTTTCCTTTGCCTTTAAGAGATGCAGATTAAACAGTAATCAATCAATTACCAAAAAGACAAAAAATCCCTGAAAAATGATGTCGCTTCTGTATTGTCTCTTTCCTTACCGCCTCCTCTACCTCTTTTGCCGTTCCCGACTGGTATATTGGCACAAAGCGCACTGTGAACACTGTGACACTTTGATTTCAAAACTTTGTCACAGCTCGTACAGGTACCAAAACTAAAGTTTCTTATTATATTCTACCCTCACCCATCTGACTGTACAAACTATTTTTTCTTCAGA